GCCGTCGGAAGGCCGAAACGAAACAAATGTCGGGCGTCTTGGAGGCCTCTTGGATCGTCTTTGTGCCCTCCCTCTTGGGGCCGTCTTGAGGGCCTCTGGGGCAGTCTTGAGGTCATCTTGGAGGCCCTCTTGGGGGCCTCTCGGGCGATCTTGGGGGCCTCTTGGGCCGTCTTGAGCCGTCGGAATGCCGAGAAGAAGCGACTGCCAAAATCCTTCAAACACCAAAGGAGCATCAATGATTTCGGCCTCCTCGGGCCCTCTTGGAGGACCTCTTGGAGGCCTCTTGGGCCGTCTTGGAGGCCTCTTGGGCCGTCTTGGGCCGTCTTGGACTCTCTTGGGCCGTCTTGGAGGCCGTCTTGGACCATCTTGGGCGGACTTTGAGGCCATCGGAGGCCATCTTGGAGGCCATCTTGGAGGTCATCTTGGGCCAACGTGGCCATCATGGCGCCATCCTGAGCCGTTTTGGAGGACAAATTGTGCAATTGAGGTCCTTTCCGTGTGGCTGGCGGGACGGGCCGAAGCCCCAGGGGGAGTTCTTTGGGAAAAAGAGCCAAACAAAACCGAGAGGGTTCAGCACGCCAGGCAGCCCTGTGATGAATCGACAGGGGGCGGCGGATCGAAGACGTCTACGGCGAATCACCGCCGCCCCCTGCCTTTGTGGAAGCGCCTATGTGGCCGAACGTTGAGGCCAGACCTGCCGAGCTATCGGACCATGTGTTCCCCGAATCGGTTTGGAAAGCCTTCGGGGAACACGTGGGCACCTTGAAGGTTATCTTGGCCGCCTGGAGGCCATTTTGACTCTTTCGGGCCTTCTTGGAGGACGTTTCGAGGGCTCGTGGGCCGTCTTTGAGGCCTCTTGAGCGTCTTGGAGGCCTCTTGGGCCGTCTTGGGGGCCTCTTGGGGCCGTCTTGGGCGCCTCTTGGGCCGTTCTGGGGCCATCTTGGAGGCCTCTCGGGCGATCCTTGGGCGATCTTTGGGAGCTCTTGGGCCGCATCGGGCCGTCAGAAGGCCGAAACGAAAATCCTTCAAACACCTTGGGGATATCACTGTTGTTGGCCTTTTCTGGCCTTCCCGGAGCCCCTCTTGGAGGCCTCTTGGGCCGTCTTGGGCCAGCTGCGAGCCACCTTCGGCCATCTTGGTGGGCTCCTGGCCCGTCTGACGCCGTCGGAAGCCGTTTCGGGGGCCTTTCTGGGCCGACTTGGGGCCCTCTTGAGGTGCTCCAGGGTTGTCTCAGAGGCCGTCTTGGGCGTCTTCGAGGCCTCTCGGGCCGTCTTGGCGCCCTCTTGAGGCCGTCTTGGGGGCCTCTGGGGCCGTCATGGGGCCATCTTGGAGGCCTTTGGGGCGATCTTGGGGCGACCTTGGCGGCCTCTGGGGCCGTCACGGGCCGTCGGAAAGCTGAAAAGGCGCAAATGCCAAAATCCTTTGATAACCAGAGGGGATCAAGGATTTTGGCCTCGTCGGGCCTTCCTTGAGGAACTGTTGGAGGCCTCTTGGGCCATCTTGGAGGCCTCTTGCGGGCCTTTTGGGCCGTCTTAGACCATATTGGGGCCATCTTGGGCCGTCTTGGATGCATCTTGGGGCCATCTTAGCCGTCTTGGAGGCCATCTTGGTTGGCTGTCTTGGAGGCATCTTGCAGGCCATCTTGGGCCATCTTCGCGATGTGTTGAGGATCTCCCGAGCGAAACTGCCGTTTTTGGCGATGGCAGCCGGGTCTTCGGGTGGCCGGCGGGAAGGGCCGACTCCCCAGGGGGAGTTCTTTTGGAAAAAGAACCAAAACCAAAACCGAGAGGGTTTAGCATGCCAGGCACCCTTGTGATGAATCGACAGGGGGCGGCGGATCTAAGACGCCTACGGCGAATCACCGCCGCCCCCTGCCTTTTTGGAAGCGCCTATGTGGCCGAACGTTGAGGCCAGAGGCCTGCCAAGCTATCGGACCATGTGTTCCCCGAATCGGTTAGGAAAGCCTTCGGGGAACACGTGGGCATCTTGACGGTCATCTTGGCCGTGTTGGAGGCCTCTTGTGCGATCTGTCGGCGATCTTTGGGGGCTCTTGGGCCGTCTCGGGCCGTCGGAAGGCCGAAAAGAAGGACAGCTCAAAATCCGTAAAACAACCTCAGGCAAATCAATGTTTTTGGTCTCTTCTGGCCTTCCTGGAGGCCCTCTTGGGGGCCTCTTGGGCCGTCTTGGGCCAGCTTCGAGCCAACTTCGGCCATCTTGGTGGGTACCTGGCACGTCTGACGCCGTCGGGAGCCGTCTTGGGGCCTTTCTGGGCCAACGGGGAACCCTCTTGGGGTGCTTCGGGGCCGTCTTGGAGGCCATCTTGGGCGTCTTGGAGGCCATCTCGGGCATGTTGGAGGCCTCTTGGGCCGTCTTGGGGCCCTCTTGGGGCCATCTTGGAGGCCACTTGGGCCGTCATGGGGCTCTCTTGGGGGCCTCTGGGGCGATCTTGGGGGCCTCTTGGGCCGTCTGGAGCCGTCGGAATGCCGAGAAGAAGCAAATCCCAAAATCCTTCAACAACTTTACGGAAAATCATTAGTTTTGGCCTTTTCAGGCCCTCCTGGAGGACCTCTTGGAGGCCCCTTGGGCCGTCTGGGAGGCCTCTGGGGGGCCTCTTGGGCCGTCTTGGGCCGTCTTGGACTCTCTTGGGCCGTCTTGGAGGCCGTCTTGGACCATCCTGGGCGGACTTGGAAGCCATCTGGGGCCGTCTTGGATGTCATCCTGGCCGTCTTGTGTGGCCGAACGTTGAGGCCAGACCTGCCAAGCCATCGGACCATGTGTTCCCCGAATCGGTTTGGAAAGCCTTCGGGAAACACGTGGGCGTCTTGAAGGTCATCTTGGCCGTCTTGGAGGCCTCTTGGGCGATCTGTCGGCGATCTCTGGGGGCTCTTGGGCCGTCTCGGGCCGTCGGAATGCCGAAAAGAAGGAAATGCCAACATCCGTCAAAAACCTAAGGAAAATCAATGTTTTTTTGACTCTTCTGGCCTTCCTGGAGGCCCTCTTGGGGGCCTCTTGGGCCCTTTTGGGCCAGCTTTGAGCCAACTTCGGCCATCTTGGTGGGTTCCTGGCACGTCTGACGCCGTCGGGAGCCGTCTGGGGGGCCTTTCTGGGCCTACGGGGGACCCTCTTGGGGCGCTTTGGGGCCGTCTTGGAGGCCATCTTGGGCGTCTTGGAGGCCATCTCGGGCGTGTTGGAGGCCTCTTGGGCTGTCTTGGGGCCCTCTTGGGGCCATCTTGGAGGCCACTTGGGCCGTCATGGGGCTCTCTTGGGGGCCTCTTGGGCGATCTTGGGGGCCTCTTGGGCCGTCTGGAGCCGTCGGAATGCCGAGAAGAAGCAAATTCCAAAATCCTTCAAAAACTCTACGGAAAATCATTGGTTTTGGCCTCTTCGGGCCCTTCTGGAGGACCTCTTGGAGGCCTCTTGGGCCGTCTGGGAGGCCTCTGGGGGGCCTCTTGGCCCGTCTGGGGCCCCCTTGGACTCTCTTGGCCGTCTTGGAGGCCGCCTTGGACCATCTTGGGCGGACTTGGAGGCGATCTTGGATCATCTTGGAGGCCATCTTGGGCCATCTTTGCCATCTTGAAGCCGTCTGTGGCAGAAAATTGGGGCCGTGGAAAAAATCCCGGGACCCCGGCGGGACGGGCCGAAACCCATTGGGAGAGTTCTTTCTGGAAAAAGAGCCAAAACCAAAACCGATAGGGTCTGGCACGCCGGGCACCCCTTTGCTGAAGCAGAAGGGGGCGGCGGATCGAAGACGCCTACGGCGAATCACCGCCGCCCCCTGCCTTTTTGGAGACGCCGATGTGGCCGAAAGTTGGATTAGAGCTTGGCCAAGCTATCGGACCATGAGTTCCCCGAGTCGGTTTGGAAAGCTTTCGGGGAACACATGGGAGAGAATGATTATGAACAGGAAGAGGAAGAGGAAGAAATAGAGTAGGAGGATGAGGGTTGTTAGGAGTCTCTTGGGGCACCCTTGGGGTCTGTTGGGGGCTTCTTGGGGGCCTCTTCGAGGCCTCTTGGAGGCATCTTGGGGGCCTCCTTGGGCCTCTTGGGGGCCTTTGGGGGCTTCCTGGGGGTCTCTTTGGCCGTCTTAGGGCGTTCCTGGTCCGTCTGACGCCGTCTGGAGCCGTCTTGGGGGCCTCTCTGGGCCGTCTTGGGGCCCTCTTGGGGCGCTTCAGGGCCGTCTTGGAGGCCATGTTGGGCGTCTTGGAGGCCTCTTGGGCCGTCTTGGGGCGCTCTTGGGGCCGTCTTGGGGGGCCCTTGGGCCGTCATAGGGCCTTCTTGGAGGCCTCTTGGGCGATCTTGGGGGCCTCTTGGGCCGTCGGAAGGCCGAAAAGAAGAAAACGCAAAAAACCTTGAAAAACCTAAGGAAAACCAATGATTTTGGCCTCTTCGGGCTCTCCTGGAGAACGTCTTGGAGGCCTCTTGGGCCATCTTGGAGGCATCTTGGGGCCATCTTGGCCGTCTTGGAGGGCATCTTGGGCCGTCTTGGAGGCATCTTGGAGCCATCTTACCCGTCTTGGAGGCCATCTTGGCCGTCTTGGAGGCATCTTGGAGGCCATCTTGGGCCATCTTGGCCGTCTTGGAGGCCATCTTGGGCCAAGTTGGGGCAACAAAGGCATTGACAGATGGATTTTCGGAAACTTACGGGTGGCCGGCGGGACGGGCCGAAGCCCACTGGGGAGTTCTTTTAGAAAAAGAACCAAAACCCAAACCTGAATCGTCCAGCACGCCGTGCACCCCTGTGGCAAGACCACAGGGGGCGGCGGATCTGGTGGCATTCGGCCCATCCCGCCACCGTGCCATCGTTGGAAGTCTGAGGCTTCTTGGATGCCTGTGGGGATCTCCTGGAAGGCCTCTGGGAAGCCTCGTAGGGGCAGTTCAGAGGTTGTCCTCGGCGTGTCTCCAGGGCCTCTCGGGGGGGCCTCTTGGGGCCCGTCTCTGGAGTTCCTGGGGGCCCGGGAGCGCAGATCTACCGTATCTTTACTTGGCCGCCTCCCCTTCAGGCGTTAGCTGCAGCCGCTGGGGCAGCCCGGCCCGTGGCGCGGGCGGCTGGTCCTTGGAGAGCGTGTCCCCGTCGAGCGGCGAGGTGGACATCAAGGCGGTAAGCTCTTTGTCGTCGTCGTCGTCGTTCCCTCCATCGTCGTTGTTGCCGTCGTCGCCCTCCTATTCTTCGCCCTCCCGAGGGGATGATGAATCAGGAGTTGGAGGAGGAGGAGGAGGAGGAGGAGGAGGAGGAGGAGGAGGAGGAGGAGGAGAGGGGGAGGTGGGGTGGGGTGGGGGGTGGGGCCCGAAGGAGGATGCACACAATATGCTCCTGTCGAGCGGCGAGGCGGATACCGGGTTAGCCAGGTCCTTCTTCTCGATATGTATATCCTCCTCCTCCGTTTCCTTGTAAATATCTTCTTCATCCCCATCGGTATCTTTCCTCTCCTATCCTTCCTGCTTCGCGTGACCACTGCGCTATCCATCATAATGAGAGGATTCTATAGTAATGGATGTGACGGTGGTCACAGAAGGGGGAGGAATAATGGTAAAAAGGGTGGGCTGGAGGGGGAAATGCGAAAGAGGAGGAGCAGGAGGAGGAGGAGGAGGAGGAGGAGGAGGAGGAGGAGGAGGAGGAGGAGGAGGAGGAGGAGGAAGAGGATGAAAAGGTGGATATGGAGGAGGAGGAGGAGGAGGAGGAGGAGGAGGAGGAAAACGCGGATATGGAGGAGGATGTGGAGGAGGCGCAAGATGCTGTTCTCCCCTTTCGCGTGACGCCAGAGTGCGAAGTGGGGGCCGCCCTGCGCGCGCGCACTCGGCAGCTGGCTTCACCTGCCAGGCCGCGCGTCCCGCGCGCGCGGGAGGGGCTCAGGGAGTGTGGGGGGGGGCAGAGTGCACGGTTTCCCCCGGGGCCGTAGGCGACCCGAGGAGGAGGAAGAGGAGGAGGAGGAGGAGGAAGAGGTGGAGGAGGAGGAGGAGGCGGACCCAACGGGCCCCTCATCGCCAATTCATGGCCAACCTCCCTCCCTCCCTCCCTACTTCTGGGAACCGGCCGCCTCGCCACTGGGGGCTCCGTCGCCCGTCCGTCGGCGCCGTGCACTTCGTTCCAGGAAAGTTGTTCTTCCCGGAGGCACACTCGCCTCCCTTCCCCGAGGAGGGGGAGCAGGAGGAGGAGGAGGAGCAGGAGCAGGAGCAGGAGGAGGAAGAGAAGGAGGAGGGGGAGGATGGGAGGAGGCCCAGGATGATGATGATGCTGATGATGATGATGCTGATGATGATGATGATGATGATGATGATGATGATGATGATGTTGATGTTGATGAGCATGCTGATGATGCTGATGATGCTTCTGATGATGATGATGACGATTATGTTGATGAGGATGATGTGATGCTGCTGCTGCTGATGCTGATGATGTTGATGCTGCTGATGATGCTGATGATGATGCTGATGATGCTGATATTGATGCTGATGATGGTGATGATGATGGTGATGATGATGCTGATGATGATGCTGATGATGGTGATGCTGATGATGTAGATGATGATGATGATGATGATGATGATGATGATGATGATGATGATGATGATGATGATGATGATGATGATGATGACGATGGCGATGATGTCGATAATGATGATGATGCTGATGCTGCTGATGATGATGCCGATGATGATGCTGATGATGATGATGTTGCTGATTATTATGATGATGATGATGACGACGACGACGATGGTGATGCTGCTGCCGATGATGCTGCTGCTGCTGCTGCTGATGATGATGATGATGATGATGATGATGATGGTGATGATGATGATGATGATGATGATGATGATGATGATGATGATGATGATGATGATGATGATGATGATGCTGATGATGATGATGATGATGATGATGATGATGATGATGATGATGATGATGATGATGATGATGATGATGATGATGATGATGCGGAGGAGGAGGAGGAGGATGAGGAGGAGGAGGAGAAGCAGGCGTTGGAGGAGGAGGAGGAGGAGGAGGCGTTGAAGGAGGAGGACGAGGAGCGCGGAGCGAGAAGCGAGGAGCGAGGAGAAGCAGGCGTTGGAGGAGGAGGAGGAGAAGGAGGAGGAGGAGGAGGAGGAGGAGGAGGAGGAGCGAGGAGGATGAGGGTGAGGATGAGGGTTTGGATAAGGGGAGGATGAGGTGGAAGTGGCGGAGGAGGAGGAGGAGGAGGAGGAGGAGGAGGAGGAGGAGGGAGGAGGAGGAGGAGGAGGAGGAGGAGGGGAAGCGAGGAGGATCAGGATGAGGGTGAGGATGAGGATGTGGATGAGGATGAGGTGGACGTGGAGGAGGAAGAGGATGAGGAGGAGGAGGAAGAGGAGGAGGAGGAGGTGTAGGAGGAAGAGGAGCAGCAATGATGATGAGGATGAGGATCAGGATGTGGATGAGGATGAGGATGAGGTGGAAGCGGAGGAGGATGAGGAGGAGGACAAGGAGAGAGAACGAGGACGAGGACGAGGACGAGAACGAAGAGGAGGAGGACGAGGACGAGGAGGAGGAGGACGAGGAGGAGGACGAGGACGAGGATGAGGACGAGGGCGAGACCGATGAGGAGGAGGAGGAGGAGGAGGAGGAGGAGGAGGAGGAGGAGGAGGAGGAGGATTGGGAGGAGGAAGAGGCTGACGATGATGGTGATGATGCTGCTGATGATGGTGGTGATGATGATGTTGATGACGGCTACGTAACTGGTGATGCTTCGGCTGATGATGATGCTGATGCTGATGCTGATGATGATGTTGTTGCTGATGACGATGCTGATGATGCTGATGATGATGATGCTGATGATGATGCTGATGCTGATGATGATGATGATGCTGATGCTGAGGCTGATGCTAATGCTGAGGCTGCTGCTGATGATGATGCTGATGATGATGTTGATGATGCTGATGATGATGATGATGGTGATGATGATGATGCAGATGATGATGATGATGATGATGATGATGATGATGATGATGATGATGATGATGATGATGATGATGATGATGATGATGATGATGATGATGATGATGCTGATGCTGATGCTGATGGTGATGACGATGATGATGATGATGATGATGGTGCTGGTGCTGATGCTGATGATGATTATGATGCTGCTGCTGATGCCGTTGATGCTGATGTTGATGATTATGATGCTGATGCTGTTGATGCTGATGATGCTGTTGATGATGCTGATTATGATGATGATGCTGCTGATGATGATGACGATGATGATACTGATGTTGATGATGATGCTGCTGCTGATGATGATGCTCATGATTATGATGATGCTGATGATGATGATGCTGATGATGATGATGATGATGATGATGATGATGATGATGATGATGATGATGATGCTGTGAAGGAGGAGAAGCAGGCGTTGGAGGAGGAGGAGGAGGAAGAGCAGGAGGAGGAGGAGGAGGAGGAGGAGGAGGAGGGAGAGCGAGGAGGAGGAGGGAGAGCGAGGAGGAGGAGGAGGAGGATGAGGATGAGGATGAGGATGTGGATGAGGAGAAGGATGAGGTGGAAGGTGGAAGTGGAGGGAGAGGAGGAGGACGAGGACGAGAACGAGGACCAGGACGAGGACGAGATCGAGGAGGAGGGGGAGGAGGAGGAGGAGGAGCAGGAGGAATGGCATGGGGAGGAGACGGGGTGCTCCTGTCGAGCGGCGAGGTGGACATCGAGGCGGTGAGTTTCTCCTCGTCCTTGTACTCGTGCTCCTCCTCCTGTTTCTTCTTGCTCTGTGCAAGGAGGAACGGGGGGGGGGATTGCGCCTTCCCCGAGAAGTGAGGATGACGTGGAAAGAAGGAGGAGCAGGAGGAGGAGGAGGAGGAGGAGGAGGAGGAGGAGGAGGTGAATGAGGCGGAGGAGGAGGTGGAGGAGGAGGAGGAGGAGGAGGAGGAGGTGGAGGAGGAGGAGAGGAGGAGGAGGAGGAGGAGAAGGAGCGAGGAGGAGCAGGAGGAACAGGAGGAACAGCAGGAGCAGGAGGAGCAGGAGAAGAAGCGCTTCGCGAGAACCGAGGAGCAGGAGGAGCAGGAGAAGCAGGAGGAGGACCAGGAGGAGGATGAGGAGAAGGAGGAGGAAGAGGAGGAGGAGGAGGAGGAGGAGGAGGAGGAGGAGGAGGAGGAGGCAGAGCGAGAAGGAGCGAGAAGGAGCGAGGAGGGGGGAGCACCACCGCAGGCGCGGCTGATCCGGGAGCTCGCGGACGGCCTGGCGGAGGCGGAGGCGGACCACGGCCGCGCGCGCGCCGCGCAGCCTCCCGTCGCTGGCGGGGCGCGAGGCCCGACCCCGCTGCGCGAGGACCGAGGATCTGCGGAAGATTTTTGGCTCTGTCGGCGCGGCGGCGGCCCCAGCGCGAGCGTTCAAGGTGCAGCGCCGCCTGCGGGCCAGGATCGGCCGATGCTGACATGTGTCGGACGACATCGTCGACGTGGATAGGGGTCTGAGTATACGGGATCGGACAGTCGGGCCTTCTAGATGTGGTTGGAGGATCGCGCCGCATCGTCGGTGCATCGCCGATGCGGCTCGATGTGGAGCCCGATTTTCTCCACGCCGTCGGCCCCAGTGCATCGCCGACGTCGCCGATGCATCGGCGACTTGGCCTCTTGGTGGGATCTCTCGTCGTCTCCCTCTCTCCTGCTCTACAGGGCTCCTCTCCCTCGGCTGGCGGAAGAGCGAGCCAGGGTGGCCGCACGGGCCTTGGAGCTAGCGGAGAGCAGGGTGGGGGGGGGGGGGGCTTCTGGAGTCAGGAGAGGGGGGGAGCGCAGTGGGAGCGAGCAGGGATCGGGGAGGAGGTGTGGGGGCTTGAGTCAGGAGAGGGGGGCTTCTGGAGTCAGGAGAGGGGGGAGGCGCAGTGGGAGGGAGCAGGGATCGGGGAGGAGGTGTGGGCGCAGGGGCGGCGGGGGCAGGGGGGCCCCGAGGCGACTGCTCGCTCGGCCTCGCCGCGCCGCCCGCCGAGCCGCGCATGCAGGCCGGCCCCGCCCTCCCGCCTCTGGCCGCCCCCTTCCCTGTGCCTCTTCAGGACTCCGGATCCACCGACCTCCTCATTTTTTCCCCTTCCTTTTCAGGGCTCACTTGAATGTCTCGCGCCCGAGCGTCCAGGCGTTGCACACGCGGACTTCAGAACAGCATTGCGTGTTCGGGCCGATTTGGTTTGAAAGTGTACGTTCTTCGTTTCACTTTCAGCCCGCTATGGGTGGGAAGAATGCGTGGGCACGCCAGTCGAAGTCGTGGTGGCCCGGGTGCGAAACAAGGCGGTCCTTCAGGAATGGGGAATTTTCGCTGGCCAGTTGCCCTGTGGGCCAAACGTTCATCGTCTACGTCTTGCTGGCCAGAGAAGTGGAACGTCATCGCCAGTTCGGATTCTGATAAGTGGGCGTCAAATCGATGCAGGTCCACTCCTGCGGGGGGCCCACCCCCGCCTCGCGACACCAGACGGGATGCCACAGGCGGGAGTCACCACCCTGCCAGTGTAAGCTCTTGAACAACAACAGGGAAGCCAGAGGACGTTTGTGTGTGTGTGTGTGTGTGTGTGTGTGTTTTTGTGGCGGTCCTGACAATAATCCTAGGATGTCTCGGCGCCCACCGCCCGCCATGCCTGGAAAGGCTCTCCATACTCGTCATAATCCATACTGAGCGCCCGTGCGTCCGCCAGGTTGGGCAGGGCCAGGGTGCCGCCGTCGAGGGCCTGCGCAGGGCGGCCTTCCACGCCGCCGCCACCGTCGTCGTCGGTGCGCCCGTCGACCCGGCGGAATCGAGCCTGCACCCTGGTAAGAAGGGAGTGTTTGTTGACATTGACGAATTCATCCCGCTGTTATAATTACAGGTGAATGCATTCTGTTTCATCAGTTCTCCTCTGGCTGTTGTTGCAGTTCACTGTTCAGGGGAATGTGCGTTGCTGCCCCAAAAAAGCCCGGGGCGGACACCAGGGTCACCCTCTTGACGGGCACGGGCTGGCCACCACCGTCCACGGCGATGGCGAAGTCGCCGGCCGCAGGCGCACCCAGCGGCGGACGCCGCGCGCAGCTGAAGTCTCGGCGGAGCAGGTCGACGACGAGCCAGGCCTGCGGGACCTGCGGGCGTCGGCGCTGGGCCTGGCTCCCCGACTGCGCCATCCTCCAGCGGCCACAAGCTGCGCGCCCATCTGAGCTCTTCGCCGCCTGGTATTTCACAAGGGCCCCAACCCACAGCATCAAATTAGGGAGCCCACGGAGGACGTACGCGCCCAGCCACGTACATGAACGAGGCCCCCCAATCCGCGAGACCAGCCGCGTGATACGAACGTTCGCTCAATGCGTACTCTCGAAACCCACGTGGATTCATGTACGCGTACTTCCTTCTCTCGCTCCTGACAGATGCGAGGGAGTCCGCGGAT